GCGTCCTTTAGCATCGGGTGGGAGCCCGAAGATGAAGTCCATCGACACCGAGCGCCAGGCCTCGGTGGCCATCGGTAGAGGACGCAAGGAAGCTTGCGAAGACAAGGCAGGTTTCACGCGCGGGTAGGTCTCGCAGGTACGTATCCACTTAAGCACCCATTTGTACAGGTGGGGCCAATAAAAGGCGCGTGACACAGTGGCAAACGTCTTCTCGCGACCGAGACGAGCGCCCAGCGGGGCATCATGAAGATCATGGATAATCCGTGAGCGCAGATCGGGGTCGTTAGGGACAACGACACGTGGGGCATCGAAGATGTCGATGCTGTACGTCAGCAGCGCGTCCTCGAGACGATATCGGTGGATTTTGTTTCGTACAGAGCGGAAAGGGGCTCCCAGTGTGTCGGCGCTGGGAGAGCGGAGATGCTCCAGGATACTGGAGCACATCGAGTCATGTTCGTAAGCAGCTCGGATCTCGTCGCGAAGTGGCATTACCGGAGAGACGTTCGTCAGGGCGACTCCTGACGCATCGCACGTGGCACACTCGTCTACATCGTCTTTATCCAGCGAATCTTGTCGACCCAATGCACCGCGTGGGTCGTAGTCGGGACGCCGAGACAAAGCGTCGGCGAAAATGTTGTTCTTGCCGGGCTTGTAATGAACAACGAAGTTGTACTCAGAGAAGAACGAAAGCCAGCATATCATTCGCTGGGATAGATGGGGACTCTTCATCGCTGTCCTCAGCGATGCGTGGTCGGTGTACACCGCGAAGGTATCCTCACCCAACAAGTACACTCTGAACTGGATCAGAGCGTAGCGCATCGCAAGGAGCTCCTTGTCGTGAACAGGGTAAATGCGCTCCGCCGGCTTCATCTGTATGGACTGGTAGCTCACGACACGCTCTCGATCTGCATCGTCGAATTGCATCAGCGCACAGCCGATGGCGAAATCGCTCGTGTAGCAGACAACGTGTAAATGCTTCGAGTCATCCGGGAGCGCGAGGATTGGAGCCTCGGCGAGACTCTTTCTTCACCGAGTCGAAGGCGGCTTGATGTGTGGGTGTCCACGACCACGGCACATCTTTCTTCAACAGCGAAGAAAGCGGCTGGATCAAACCGGCGTAATTATTCGTGTACTTGTGGAGATAATTTGCGAGAGCCAGCCACTGACGCAATTCAGTGGGATTCTGTGGCGTAGGCCACGCACATATCGAAGACACTTTCTCGGGGTCGGCGCGGACGCCGTTCTTGCTCACAAAGCAGCCAAGTACCGGAATCTCCGGCGCGCAGAATATGCACCTCTTCAAGCTGGCATACAGCTTGTTTTCGTGCATCACTTGGAAGACTTGCCTCAGATGCTTCAAGTTGACTTCAAGCGCGCTGAGGCCTCCCTTAGCGCGACTGTGTACGAAGATGTCGTCGAAGTAACTCGGTGCGAGATCGCGGAGCGGGTGCAGCACATGGGATACCACGCGATTGAACGTGGCGGGAGCATTCGTCAAGCCTTGTGGCATAACAAGCCACTCCCAGAGCATACCACTGGGAGTGCTTACCGCTGTGAGCGGTATGTCGCTCAGCCTCATGAGGATTTGGTAGAACCCATCGGTCAAGTCGATGGCGCTGAAGACCTCACTACCCGACATTGCGTCGATCACCATGTCCTTCCGAGGAATCGGCGTCTGGGCAGGAATGGTAGCGTCGTTCGGCTTGCTAAAGGCATGGACGACGCGCCATCGAAGAAGCCATTGATAGCTTGGACCTGATCTCGTGGGAGCGGCCACTACCGCGTCACATAATACTTCTAGCCGGGCACAAGATCGATCTCGTGGCTAATTCCTCGGTCAGCTGGTAACTCAGCTGGGATCTTTTCCGGAAAGACATCTTCTTATTCGCGGGCGGACTCGTAGACTGGATTGCCGGATCCGCGTAGCGCTTCCCAAGAATGCGCTGCGAAGCGCTCCTCGCGGGCCGACTTCGGTTCAGCGCTTCTTAAGCGCGAGACGTCGTCACGGACTGCATTCACTTCGAGCGACGCCGAATCGGCGTCGGTGATCAGGCAAACCTGTTCGATTTCATCGTCCTTGACGCCGCGAGGGAAGTTCTTCCCGGAGAGACCTGGAAGTCGCGTGATTGACCCTTCCTCGCCAGGTGGGTTTGCAAGCTCGAGTATTCGTCGGCGACCGGAAGTACCTTCCACATACTCAAGCACGCAGACCGACTCCGTCAGTAAGCTGTCACTTGGTACGGGCTCTCGGCGAGGTTTCAGCCGACGCCACTTCGACTTCCTCTTTCGCCGCTTCGAGTGCGAACTCGAGAATGATGTCGCTCTCGCTGGACGAGAGGTCACCCCCTCTAGCGGGAGCCCCTGCTCGACCGCGGTAGTGTTCAGCGGGAACGCCAACTGCTCAACCACCGGCTCAATTGACGGGAGCCCCTGCTTGACCGCCATCTCATTCAACTGCGGGGGCCCCTGCTCGACCGCCAGTTAGTTTCATCCCCCGCGGCGACGCGGGGATTCGTCAGTTAGCAGCGCTGCGCAAGCCGTTCAGAGAGGGCCATCGCTCACTCTGTGCACAACGTGCGTCGTGAATGCCCGGTCTACGACGGTGACGTGAGGCCAATCCTTTTGGGCGACCAGGAGTTGTGTGAACACCTCTCTCACATCATAATCACGGAGGATGCTTGGCCGAAGCAGACCAACCCTTCATTTTGTGTGTGAGTAGCGCCTCCACCCCGGGTTTCCTAGGAAGCCATCCAACCGCGTTATTTCTTCTTAATGACGGAGAAGGTCGTCGCTCCTCGGGAACCCGTCGAAAGTGTACGGATGTGTTATTTTGGGGGGGGCGGGCGCGGCGTAATTTCCCATTCGCCAATTAGACAGCGGCCTCCCCTCCTACCTTTGCGGACAGTGATGTCCGACGGGAGTACCGACAAGCACGACGCGCGGAAGAGGTTGTTGGTCGCTCCTGAATCAACGAGCGCTGGCAGTGGTCGCCGGGCACCGGCGACATGAACACTGACAATGATCAATCTTGAATCGCTCGGCGTGGTGGTGGCATGAAAGTGTGCATGCAGCACAGGAGGGGCTAGGAGGTTGGGTTGCCACCGGGGGACTCGGACCTCCATTCCAGCCAGTAGGGCGCCCCGCACCTACTGACCCTGACCGTTTTTTGGCAGGCCAGAACTCACGGGATCGGCATCGACATGCGCAAGCACTGGAGCTGGCGCGCGGCACTCCGACGCGCGATGACCAACCTTCCGACAGCGGAAGCAGGTGAGAGAACGATTGAGCACCGCTCCGACGCGCTATATGACGCCGCAACCACGTAGTCCTCGCGTAGGGCGAGGGAAAATGCCTCTTCGAGTGTAGAGGGGTCCGATATTGTAAGGCAGTAGTGCGTCATGCCTTCGCGCATACCGAACACGAACACATGAACCTGAGAGACCATATTGATGGGCTTAGACGCGATACACGACGCGAGGTGTGGTGTCATCTGGACGTAGTCGCGCATAGTCATCGTGCCTTGCCGAAGGGTGAAGAAGTCTGCCCGAATTCGGGATTCATCTTGCGGCGGCTCTAACGCGATCCGAAGGTCACTCTCGTGGGTATCCAGAGTGGGAAAGGCGTTGGGATCGACAACCAACCTGCCGAGAGCCCATTCCTTGGCTTTCCCAGACAGCCGCGAGAGGAGGAAATGGACCTTCGCGGAAGGCGCCTCGATCAACCTCGGGCGATGGCAATGTCGATCTCTCGAAACCAGCGATTCAGCGGAAGTCGGTCTTCTACGGCACCGGAGAAGGTGGACGTCTCTAGCTTCACGACGTCATTCGTGGAGATACGCGAGGGAGTTGACACTCGCGTTCCATGAACTCTTGTGCCGCAACGCGCTGCTCGTCGGGGGTCGCTGAGCGCAGCAGCGACGTGACGACGGCTTCTCCGGACACCGCCGCGAGGCGGTAGAGAACTTCCCACTCGATCCGAGTAAGATGGAGGAAAGCAGCATGGTCGAGGTGTTGGCTCATGTCGAACTTGGTCGTTGGAAGGACTACGAAGTGCTACCAGGTGTAACGAGCCAGGTATTTACTTCTTTACTTACTTACACTATTGTGTTGAGGAAGCTCGCAATAGGACGACTGAGTCTTAGGTTTAAGGAAAAATCAACTCTGACTTTATTTTAGGACCAAGGCCACAGCCCAGGCCACTCCAATACACGTCATAGTCCAATTGGCTAATAATGGGTCTGGCTCCCCATATATCAGCCAATGGCATGACAGCTTTTCAGCACACGCTAGTCGTGTGCTGATGCACCTACTTATGTAAAGAAATCTACCTACTTATATAATGGAGGGGCCCATCGCCTCCACGGTCATAGATGCTTCGCCATCATCTCCACGTCCACGTCCTCATCCTCATTCTCCACCTCCATGTCTTTGCCATTATTCTCAACATCCACATCCACGCCATCATTCTTTACATCCACGCCATCATCATCAACCTCCACTTCCAATTGACCCTCGCTCCCCACGTCATTTCCAGATACGGTTTCTATCTCTCTCTGTGCAACCGACCCTTCTTCAGCGCTTGGCGTCTCCGTATCACCAGCTCGCGTGATGTCTGAGAGGCCGGGGCCTCTGTAGCGGGGAGAACCGTCCCGAGTGCGCATGTCTCCTTCCTCGTCCTCGACATCTTCTCACGTCTAGCCACAGAAACCAAAATGAAAGACAATCGCGTAATTTATCTTGATCGGAAATAGCGCAGAACGGAAGTAAATTTATCTTACAGACATTTCCCGAATTAAACAATCCTGGCCTCCAACGGTTCCCTTTAAAAATTGGTTGTCGTTAATCACAGAAGGAATACGGTACTGTACATGCGCGCCTGTTTTTAATAGGTCACTTTAATTATTTCTCAAAACGATCACAAAAAAAAACAATTGGGTGCCTTTTCGTGTTTTGAGCACTCCCAAGAAAAAGTAGAAAACGAGCTCTTGATTTTTATCTGGAATGGACGCCTCCGGAGACGCGCCCGCTTTAAGCGAGCAGGAGCTGCTGGCATCGCTTCCTCCTCCTCCCTCGGCTCTCCCTGACTACCCAGGAAAAGCCGACGCCACCGACAACGAGCACAGTGCATCGAATGTCACCAATGAAGAGACTCCGGAGCGCACATCCTCTAACTCCAAGCTGCCTGGATCCGCCGCCAAAGCTTCATCCGCTGCGCGTTCCATGGCCTCTAAGCTCGCAAAAAGCGGGCGTAAAGTACTGTCGCCGCTAGGCCACAGTAGTAAGAGCAACACAACAGCCACATCGTCTCCTTCCTCTACATCGACCCAAAGCGAGGCGGGGACGACCTCTCCGAGCTCAATCGACGCCGCCATCGCCGATCCTTTGGGCTCTGTGGCCTCTGCTGCCGGCTCTTTGACCTCAGGCCTCACATCGTCGCTAGCCAGCGCGTCATCGTCCTTCGGATCGCTACTATTCGCGTCCCAAAGCTCCAGTGTAAGCAACGCTGACGACGTGGAAGATCGCTCGAGTAGCGCTGACAAAGCAGCTGAAGAGGCTGCAGCGGTTGCTGCAGAGGCTGCAGCGGTTGCTGCAGAGGCCGCAGCAGTCCTACGACAAGTGACAGCTCAGCAGAGAATGAGGATCCTGGAGGATTTAGTGCAACACCGTCGCTCGGACTGGAACTACCTTAAAGCGATGCATGAAGGCTCCAACTACTGGTTAAATGTGGCTCTACTAAGAGAGCAGCAAGTGATGAATCATGTGGGGTACAAGCAAAGTATCCGACGTGGTGCGCAGTTTTTCTACTTGGGGATTGGATTAGGGCGATTGGTGGGGGAATCGACCCACCCGGAACTACTGGCTATGGACTGCTGCCAATTACTGGAAGAACTGGAATTTTACTTCTCGTCCTCGACGGTGCAAGGAATGGTAAGTAAAAAACCATTTTTTTTTTAATTGTAGTGAGGAGATATTAACGTTATGGTTATATAGAAAATGATGGTGGCGACGTCAAGCACGCTACACGAGCCTCTGGACACGGAGAATAGTCCGCAATACTCAGCCGATGAGCCATTCCGGCCCACTATGCACAAGTGGAACCAGCGGCCAGTTTATCGACGACTATTGACGCCTCCGATTGTAGGTTTTTTTTTATTGGAATATTTATTTATGAGTATTAATATTCTGCGTGTTTTATAGCCTTTTCCACTGGACTACCGAGAGATTTTGCTGTCTTTGTGCGATATTCTAGCGCTCATTTACAGCAAACTCGTCGAGGATAACAGTGCGTCTGAGAACTTAAACCTCTTCCAGTCGATCATTCGCTTCGATGATCGCATTAAGGTACTTTCTAAGAGTCGACGGCGTTCAACGGTTCCCGTTTGCTAAGATTTTTGTTGTTGTTGTTTTTTGTGTGCTGCTGACTTAGAAACTTTTCATTGACCCTGTGAAGAAAGAGTTTTCAGCCGTAGCGTCTCAAGTAATGGCAGAGGAGATGCGACTCGTTCGCAAGGCCTACGCGTGTGGAAGTCGGGACGGAGAACCTCTAGCAGCGAGTCCGACGGAAAGTATTGAAACCAATGCCGCCACTGTGGATGGGAATTAGGTACTTTAATAATATAGTCGGTTGGGATTGATACATGTAATGAAGTGCCTCGCTCGACCATGTATCGGGGAGCCGCATTTTATTAGTACAGTATTATTGAGAGGAATCAGTATTAGGAGCTGGACCCGATTTACCAGGTCGTTGTTGCCGTTCCTTAACCACAAAGTGGCTCAATTTTTGCCGGTTTGCTCAAGTGGTTAGCATCAGCTACCAACGGCGATGGCATCTATCAAATTTCTTCACCCAACACTACACACCTTCGTCCACTGAGGGGTACAATGCGCTTGATCACATGCAACAATTAGAAACACCCTGGAGCAAGAACAGCTACTCAAAGTTAGATTCAGAGCTCACAAAGACTGGTTGGTAGGAAAAAAAGGTAAGACAAAACGTCACTGTTGCATTTACATGCAATGCGACGTTTGCCTCTGTGAATTTCCGACCAAATTTGCCGTTTTGGTAATATACGTATTTCGTACTTAATGATCTCTTTTAGGTAAGTCAGATTTGCGACTTTCTAAATGATCGTGTGAGATTAGTCACGCGATCAGTGATGATCAGGATTTCGACATTATTAATATAGAAGTGTTAGCGAATGCGAATCTCCTTATTATTAGCTGCCATTTTAATAATTGGTGCACCTCGGTCATTTGGCGATTCATCAAGAGCAAGTTGCTCTTAACAACCATGGGCATCGCGGGTTTAATGCTCGTTACTGTTGTAGCCTTGTTAGCCGGAGCACTTGCTCAAGAACATACTACTCAAGCGTACTCGGTGAAAAGAACTTCCATTGTCTCCAAGTCTCACATCAGCATAGCGACGGAAAGACAGTTAAGATCCTTCCAAACATCGACTTTACGTGAAGATGGCGAGGACAGAGTCAATGTACCCTGGTTATCAAAGGTCGACGATCTGATACAATCTATGTTCAAGTCCAGTTTGTCACCTGATAAAGTGCAAATCGGAACGTGGGTGCAGTCCAAGGTGCACCCTAAAGACCTGTTTAGCACCTTACGTCTTGGAGAGAGCGCAGCCAAGCTTGACGACAATCCGAATCTTCTTCAATGGTTCAGATTCGTAGCGCCTTACCAAACTAAACATGGCGAGAAGGCGATTTTGAATTTGGATGTCTACTACCTGTTACTAGAGACTCACAGCAACCAGGAACTGATGACACTACTGAAATCTCTAAAGAAAACTCCAGGGCTGAGTAAGTTTGCGTCGAATATCCAGGAGTCACTATCTGGAGCGTGGGTGTCCAAAACACTACTGAAAGAAACAAGTTCAAAGACAGCCTTCGAAGTGCTACGCCTAAAAGAAGCTGGCTCGAAGTTGGATGACACGCCCGTTTTCCACCAATGGTTGAAGTACGTGGAGGCGTACAGAGCGAAGAGAGGGACGGTTATGTTCGGAGACATTGATATGTTCTCGTTATTGCAAAAGACAATGCCGGAACGTGAATTGACAACCCTTTTCTATTCACTTCGGAAGGTCCCGAACATGAAGAATAACGCTGAAACCATGCAGAGATTTATGTTGTAGAAATCTAAAACCAGTCGCAAAACTATGAATGACGTTTGGCTAAAGTTTCGAGAGCCACCCGAGGAAATGTTCAAGGTCTTACGTGTGGCGGAAAGTCGGGCCAGAGACGACAGTGACATGATTCAGTGGCTCAGGTATACCCAACTGTTTCGTAACCGCATTAAGAAGAGTGCGTTTTCGGATGAGCAAACCTTGCAATTCTTGACGAAGTCCGACCCATTGAAATCAGATTGAATATTTGCAACACAGTTTCAATCTCTTAAGGAAGTTCCAGATTTGAAGAAACAAGCGGAAAACATGCAGTCTTCCCTATTTCAGAATTGGATAAGTGCGAAGATAAAACCAGATGAGGCTTCAAAATGGCTGGCAAGTCCTTTCAACGGAAAAGTTTTGAACCTGCCGAAGGATGATCCCAGATACGGCACTTGGGAGAGTTATATGCTTTTCTATGCTGAAAACAAGGGCGGACAACCTTTGCTTCAGAAAGTGAGAGCATATTTCAAAAACGATGATGCGCTGGCAGCAGTAATGAAGTCTAGATGAACACTAGATTTGATGGCGTTTCATTCAACGAAATAAAAACGGGGTGCCTTTGAAAACACGGTACATTTAAATTTGGATTTCGTGATTTTAAAGCATTTTTTAATTATTATTATTTCAGCATGATTTCGCACAGCGCGGCACTCGCGATTAAATGCTCTTTTTAAGGAGAGTACAATCGATGGCTGGCTGGTAAGCTCGGTTTTGAACCCGCCTACACAAAATCTCGCGCGGGTTTGCCACACTCCCTCCCGGTCGCCAGAAATAAAACTACATAATTAATTCGATACTTGTTTTTGGACAGTTTACCGGTATTGAGACAACGTTAATCTTCCTAAGCGATTTGGGCATTATTTGGACAAGTTGATGACGCTATTTGAAAATGAACTAATCAACTCGTTGGAACGTTGATGTGCCGCTGCTTTAAACCGTCACGATGAAGGTGCTAGACGTACCTTCATACGCCGCCAATGCACCAAGCAGGTTTTTCGAATACCCGCGGTGCACGAAGCGATACGTGCCTGCCACACTAGTGCGTCCACCTTTGCGAATGTTCCACTCGTGTTCTTGCTCTCAGCAATGAGATAACGCTCCCAGCGGTAGCGCAAATCCCAATGCGCATCGGTCATGACGGTTGTATACGCGCCATTCGATCCAAGTTTCTGCACGTCACAGAACGATGAGACCAGCGTGAGTGCGTTCTTCGGGTGCGCGCCGGCGAATACCGCTGAAGCGACACTCCCCACGGAGTACGAACTCGACGGTTGTGTGCGTACATCACTAAAGGAGCGCAGAAGCGGAGCTGAGTCCATCACCACACCAGTCTGCAACGTGATGAGCGAGTTGCGGTTGATCTGCAACGGTGTGGGACCCACGTCCAGCGGTACGGACGAATCAGCGACGGACGTGGCGACTCTAGTGAGCTCCTGTTGCACTGCAGCCAGCTGGTTGGGTCCGAAAAGCGTCGACGCGCCTTCGTAGTGCTGCGTACGGTGGCACTTTGTTGACGTTCTGGCAGTCCTTCACCCATTGTGGTGCCTCTTTGACGACACCACCGAGGGTCCGGAAGAGTGCGTTGGCCTTGAGGTTTCCCTCTGTGAACATACTGAGCACTCGACCGTCTTCTGTGCCAGCAGCAAAGTTCTGTCCGATGACAGCAGGACACGTTCTATTAGCGTACGGGTCTGCTATGTTTGGTGTGACGCCGGTGAGTGCTACATTAGAGAAGTCGACGTAAGAAAGATTAGCGACGATGGAGCCATGGACGAGCTCAGAGGTTCCTTTGATCAGCGATGACAGCGTATCGTACTGCCGTTTGCCCATAATCTCGGCAGACTCGATCGTTGTATTGCCCTCGCCACTAAAGGTCCCGTCTCCATTATCGATGAGGTTCGGACTCACGTCACCAGCGTTGGTAATGTCGATCCCAACGATGACGTCGTCTAGTTCGTCTTCAAGAAGGAACTCGGCGTATCCCTTGTTGTCTCCACTGATGAGAAGGTTTTGTACACTAAGACTGGTAGGGTGGACGGGGTAGAACGCCAGCACACCTCGAAGCTTACCGGAACTACTGAAGAAATGTAGTGCCCGCATTGTCGAGTCGACGTCACTGCTGTATTGTGCACGTTCAGACGACGGGTTGGCCAGGTAGGCCTCGGGAGAGCGGTTCTTGACTCCTTTAGAGACTTCTCCCTTGTTCCATCGGATGGTACCGGCCTGGATGGAGTTGTGTGCAGCGTCGATGGCGCTCACGATACCACTGACGATCTTGTCGAAGTTTTCACTGACATCCAAAGCTGGAGACGTCGTAGAGGAAATATCCTGCGGTCCCTCCTGGCCCCGCGTGGGTGTGCGTAGCATGTAGAATGACGTTCTGTTCGGTGTAGAGTCCCTTGTATTTGGTAGCGAGCTGTGCTAGAACTTCTTGATGTACTAGTTGCATGACGGAGTGCAAGTCGCAGTGGACAAACATGACACGCTTCCTGGTAATAGCGTCTTGGATGAGGAATGCTCGGGCGTACAGACAATTAAGGATCCCAGCGGAGCTTTCGCCGGAGCTTGCGAACCCCATCATTACCACTTGGGCTGCAGGTCCAGTGATGTCGCTCTTGCCCACACCGATGTTATACGTCGCTGTAGCGTGTCCGGGGAGCTCGATAAGCAACAGGATAAACAGCAACGACTGGAGAAGTCGGAAGGACGACATCGTAGTCTTGCCTTGATGAGTCGATGAAGCGGTTTGAGCACCAGGCGGCACGTTTGAAAATGGCCAAGGCTTTAGTTGCCATCCGGTATCGCTTCTTGATGAGCTGTTCCGGTGGAGAGAGGGCGCATTGCAGTATCGCTTGTTAAACCGTCCTAGTATACCCCAACATGACTCATCGAGTGGCTCATACTCATCATGTTGAAGTGGACTGATCATAGTTCACCATCATGGCTCCGTTGAAAGACATTTCTTTTTTTGCTTTGCACGCTTACAGTTGGACCGAAATGATTAGTCCGACGTAAATGCAACGTAGCACGTTGCATCATCGTTCGGAAAGGTACTCATAACCTCCACTTCAATGTACTCATCCGTCGCCCTGCTCAGATTACTCCTTATAACGATAATAATTTGTCTTTACCGGTTCTCCACAGTTAACTTTTTCCTTGTTCGACGTCGCTGGATAGCTTGTGAGATCCGAAGCATCTGAACACCTTTCAGCCAACGTGTTCGAGACCGTGTGCGCGATGCTAACTCGTAAAAGTACTGAACTTTGCCGATCAACAGCAGCCTCTCTCCTTCATCATCGTCATCATTTAGTTCACTAGCGCCAACCGCACTTAAGCGACGTTGACGTTGACGACGAAGTGCAGCAGAGAGAAACCACATGAGCTTGCAATCCCAGAGGAAAATAGTCCAGAGACGCGAGACCAAGGCTGACAAAGTGCTCACTTCGACACGACGACCGAAGATAACTCGATCCACAACTGCAATTTTGGGTACAATCCAGCGGTCCAAAGCGAAGAGCTCCAGCGACAATATAACCAGTCCCATAAGCTCGAAAGTCAGCACGGATAGCATAAGAACAGAGCGTCGAAAAGCCAATAAACGCATCGTACTCGGAGGTAAAGCGTCCAGCGTAATGGCCCACTGCATCCAAAGCCACGCGCCCCACACCCACACAACACGACGATCCCAAGTCAAAAATTGACTCAAAGCTAACGACGCTACTGTGAGCTTCGTGGACAAAAAGAGGAAGTTAAACGACGAGTATAATCTTTTGAGTAGTTGCCGTTGATATGAAGCAAAGAATACGCCACAAAAGACCAGCGAAGTGACGAACGCTACGCCTTGAGTACGTGCTAACCCTGGTCGTATATGATCCAGATTCTGGTCTTTAGAAATCCATGCAACCAGAGCACCCAGCACCAAAACACCCATCCCAATGTAGCCTAAAGCATGAAAGATGTGTAGCAGTAGACAGCGACGACTGTGTGAGGCAAATGATCCTAAAATTTGGTCCAGAAACCCACCAAATCCTGGTACAAGTGTTTTAAAAGCATTGAAATCTGCTCCAACTGGTACAAATTGCAATTGGATGGTCTGGGCACGGTGTCGCTCTTGTACTCTGGGTCCAAATAAAGGAATCTGGGCTCGGGTGGCGACAGGTGTACGATAACTTTCCAAAGGCTGGATACTTAGCACACTCCCTGCCCGAGAACGCGTCGATGGACCACTGGTACTGGGTATGGAGCTTGTACTCCTCGACCGCATGATGGTGTTCCGGATACCACTACTTTTGGGTTGTAGTCCGACCGTGCAGTAGTAGCTGACGCAGCGTCTTCGACTAGGGATATAGCTGGTCTCGGCATTGACATGACGTACTGTGGCCGAGTCTTGTTCACACATTGTGACATAATTACGATAGACTAGTCTCCCAAAGAGTAGTACCATGTTAAGTTGGGTATTCATTAGGGTATCCCGAATAGAAAACCCGTATCCGCTGTTCGAGTACGAGAGCATGAAAGTATCTCCGTTCCCATCGTCATCCACTCGCTTTAAGAACACCATCAGGAACATCGTCATGTGCGTCATGCAGTTAAGGACACTGGACAATAAAATCTGTCGTCTGTCGCCCACTAGAGCATCCGAACCGATGCTTATCTGCACGATGGCACAGCCGACTAAGACAACAATTATGCGAATGTCGCGAAGTAAAGCCGCGAAACACACGCCAAACACGATATTGTTGACGGTGAAATACCAGAAATCGTACGTTCCAAAGAGCAGGAAGAGCATTTCTAGGCGTACCGAGCCAACTATGAACAACATTCCAGGAAACTGTAATAGTGGCGCCAACACTGCCATTACCGATCCAATATTTCGAGGTGCTGCAGTTGTGAAAAGCATGAGTAAATTACCCATCTGCAACATGAAAGCAATAGTATATCGCCACTGGGCTCTGAAGACGTTGAGACGTCGGATCTGGTCCTGAGTGAGCAGCATGGTCTTGAGTGTTTTCGAAGCATCAAATGCTGGCAGATCTTCTATTGGAACCAGCTCGAACACGGGAGGACCTCCTTGAGTACTTGCTGACTCTGTGCGTAAGAGACCAGCACTAGTATTCCCTCGTTGGAGGGGGCTATGCCACGCTTGACGTACATTACCTTGGCTAGTGATGTCGGGTTGAGGTGCAATCGCAGCTAATTGTACAATCGTTTTTCGGCCGGGCCAGGCTCCTGTCTTCATATGAGCTCTGTAATGTCTCGTGTATTCGAGTTGGTTTACGGGCGATGGGCCAGTATCATGAGTCGTCGCGAATCTCGTTTCCTCTTTCTTACTTTGACCTGCTCCTTTTATCGCGATGGGGTCGAAGCTGACCGGAATAAAATCACTTAACCTCCGCTTCAAAGTACTTCAATTTTATTGCTTGCGAAACGGACGACTCAAGTTTCTATTTCTGCCTGCTTTAACCCCTTGTTTATGACAGCTAACGTATAAGTCACGGTACTGTTATGTCGTAACTTACGACGTGCGTAGTTACTTTGGTTCTGTATGATGTGCATAGACGTCTGCGGGAAGCGATATTAAATCTGAACAGGTTTACTGAGGAATGTCGTAAGTTATACTCCTTTCTTGTGTTCATCACTAGCTCATGTCGTAACTGACACCGATGGATGAAAGAAAGGGTGCGAGAGCCGGCACCTAGAAGGAAAAAGACGCAGCAACCCGTGCATCAAATCTGCGAAAACTGCATTACAACTCATAAGTTACCACAAATCAAATCTGACACCTGGCATTTCATCACTTCTCTTGTGCACAAACTGGTCTCACTGGTTTTTGTCATTATCATTTCCAGACCCCTCGTCGTCTGCCTCCCCGTTGTGAAGCTGTAATTCTCGGCGAGTCTTCTTCCGCAGTCCAGCTTTCTTCCCGGGACGCCGCAGCACAACTCGTTTCCCTAAGGTGACAGGGATCGCCTGACCGCAGTCAAAATCGGCATGCCAGATTGCAAAGCAGGTCTTTGCTTCACCCCTGTAGGTATGCCGGATCTTGTTACAAAGCCAGCATTTGGCGTTGTCCAGCGAGCAGCGCTCACAGAAGAAAGTCGTAGCGTAAGATTTCTTTTTTTTGTCGGTCCTGAGTAATGCGCAGACCTTACAGGACCGCTGGCGTCGCTTTTGCACACCGCTGACAGTCACCCAATCTTCCGACTGTTCCACTTCATGGGTAAGCCGCACTGGAGCACGTTGGCGCTTTTGGCGTAGCGGTGGTGGAGTCGCCACGACACCATCAAAGTCTTCAGCCTTGAGCTGGAGAAGCTGATTCTGAAGGATGCAATACCAGTCTCCACGCCTCGTCGCCGGCGTTCCAGCAATTCGTGCGGTTTCCTTATGTGAAATGTATGCGTTCACTAACGCTAGGTCGACGAGCCCCAAGAACAAACTCATGTAGTATTTCTTGAACTTGGTCGACGTCTGTAACGAGAACTTCTGGAGGCGGAGTTGATCATGAATATCAACTCCTCCCATCCAGCGCTGATAATCCGTCACAGCTGCAGGACATGGCACAGTAACTGGTCCCACGCGCTTCACATTCCTATTGATTGACGAAGCCGTCATCACAGAGCCCGTGCACAAGTAATGCACGGGTTTGCTGTCCCACCATTGGTATGCCACCATACTTGGGACAGCAATAGAACGGGAGAATGTGAACGCCCCTCGAGGAATGCTTGCCGGTCGTGTCTTCCTAGTCGCTTTGACATTATTGTCAAAGCCAAGTCTGTCCGTCATTATAGTGCCCAACACGTAAACACTCATACCAAGGAGCTCGATCGCAAGAAGGACTGACGAGTAGAATCGATCAATCACGACTAAGTGCCACAGATGGC